TGAGCATCCATGGGGTTAGTTGGACAGAGCAGGAAAAGCACAGGCTTCAGGGCTCCAGCTTAGCCAACCGTGACTTTGAGAAAGCACTCTGACCCCTGTGGCCCTCAGATTGCCTTCTGTGACAAGCCCCCTTCCCAGGCATACTGGGAGACATTGTGGTAGTCCAGGTGCCCATCCTGGCCACAGGCCCTGGGTTACTATTATTAGTTATAATTATATGTGTCTACTGTCTCCAGTTGGGGGAGGCCCTCTTGCAGTCCCCACCTAGGCCCAGATCTCCACATCATGCTGCCAGGCCCTCGCAGCCCTTATTGGGGAATGTGTGTTTGGAGACAGGCAAGGAAAGCCAGGGAAAGGTTGACTGCTCCACTGCCCCCCTTCCTGCAGTGTGGGTGACACCGGCAAGAAGCGAGCAGCTGACCCGGGTTTGAATTTAGAGTGTTCATTAATACGATATTATGCCATATGCTCCCGCACACTGTCTCCCTCTAATGCAGCCGCCAATTTGCTGAGCAGCCCTAATTAGTAATGGTATAATGAGAGTATTCAGAGGGTAATGTGGTGGGTGGGAACGAGGGAGGAGACTGAGCCTGGCCAGTGGGGGGAGGGGTGGGTTCTGGTTGCAGAGGGCCAAAGGCTAGGGGTAAGGGGCCACAAGAAGGGTCATCTAGTCTAGGACTGGCTGAGGCCCTAGGCTGAGACACCTCCTCACCTTGTCCACAACCCCAGTCCTCAGGGAACAACACTGCAAGGTGTGGGGTAGGTAGGTGGTAACAGTGCCAGGTGGAAGAGGAGGGAGGCCCTGGGTGAAAAGGGTGACTACGGTCCTTTGTTCTCTAATCAGAAGTGGACCGTTGTGGTGGTGATGGTGGTGTGTGTGTGTATGTGTGTGTGTGTGATGATGGTGGGGTGTGTGTGTGTTGTATGTGCATGTGTGGTGTGTGGTAGATGGTGGTGTGTATGTGTGTGTGGTGGTGTGTATGTGTGTGTGGTGGTGATGGTATGTGTATATGTGTCTGATGATAATAGTGGGGTGTGTGTGTGTGTGTGTGTGTGTGTGTGTGTGTGTTAGAGACCTACAAACCCCTGAGTCCTGGCCACCCACCTGCTAGGCACCATTCTGTCCCGTTAGAATGACCTCCATAGGTTATGTGACCCATATTATTTCCAGGAAGAGAAACCGAGGCTTAGGGAGGCTCAGATGTCACTGAACTAGTGAGGAAGCAGAGAGCTGACATCCTGGATGCTCAAACTCCAGAGGTGAGAGCTGTTTGGTAAGTTCTGGCTAAAGCTGTGGTCCCGGGCAGGGAAAGGTCAAAATGGAGGGACCAAGGGTAAACATGGCGAATTGGCACACCCCCGGCCTTCCTCCTCCTGAGGGCTCTATCTGTCCCCGCCTTCATTTCTGACTGTGGTTTTCCACCTCAGTACCTGGGGTGACAACTCACAGTATTCCTAGTTTGAAGTCACTGGAGATGAGGCCCAGGACCTGTTTACACCTGTGCCAGTTGCATCTCTGGCATGCACAGCTGGAGCCTCTGAGCTACCACAGAGTCTGGCCCTGGCTATAGATGAGCCCCAGGAAAAGGTTGGGGGTCCCAGGGAGCATGAAGTAGTTGAGTCTTATCCCTCTGAGTCCCCCATGCCGACCAAGGTCAGCAAGTGATGAGGGCAGCTGGAACCTTCTTTGAGATCCAATTGCTGGCGCCCTTCTCAGCCCCTCCTCGAGCACGCTGGGCAGCACTCCCTCCCCGGGTGATCACAGCTCTCCCGCCAACCCACACTCAGGAGATGAAATATTCATCACGTACATATTGGCTCCTCCAGCAGCTTTTAGGGAAAGTAAATGAGACTGGCTCCAGGAAGGAAATGAGTGTGAGGCTGTGGGGGGTAGGGTGGGGGGTGGAGGACAAGGATGGGCAGTGACTCCCAGCTCAGTCTTTCTTGGACCCAGTTCCTGGAAGCCAGCTTCCCCTTCAATTCCTAGTACCCCCAACTACCTTCACCTCCCTATCAACCTAGGATCACCACCTCTTCTGGAAGATGGGGAGTTGGTAGTTCACTCTCCAGTGTCCAGACAGAGCTACAAGGTCCATATCTGTCTGGTGTTGTACCAGAGGCCTGAAACAGGGGCAAGCAGGGCAGTGGTGTCCCCACCCTTAAGGAAGACCCAGGTAAGAAACAGGCCAAAGGTGTATAAGGCCATGTGAGGTGATGTGTGCAGGACATGAAATACCTACTCAAGCTTTGGTGAGCAAGGAAGGCCTCTGAGAAGGTGACACTGGCACTGAGACCTGGATGGTGAGGATACAGTGACATTGAGGGTAGAGGGAAAGCAAATCAAAGGGTCCAGAATGGGGAATGATGGTGATACAGACCTGTATTCCCAGCTACTCAGGAGGCCGAGGCAGGAGGCTTGACAAGTCCAGGCCAGCTTGGTTATGTAATATAAGGTTACCATATAGTAAGTTTAAAGTTAACCTAAGCAACTTAATATAACCCTATCTCAAAATTAAAAAAAAAAAAATTTGAAGGGCTAGGTGTAGCTCAGTGATAGAGCATTTGGTTAGCATTTAAGAGGCCTTGGGTTAAACCCCCAGAACTGGAGGTAGGAGGAATGGGAATGAGCTTAGAGTGTTGAAAGAACAGTCAGAAAGAAAGTCAGTATGGCTTTGACTCAGGGACACTAAATTTAAGAGGGTCTCAAGGGCTCAATCCCACAGGGCCCTGAAGGCAACTGAAAACTTGGAGTTTGTTCTAAGGGCAAAGAAAAGAACTGGGACCCAGGGAGAGAGCACCGGGTCTGGAGCTGAGAACCTGGTTATGAGTCCTAAGGTCATTCAACCTTTTAGCCTCACCTTCTTCATCCTATGAGCCAAGGACAGGAAAGTCCAACCCAGTGTTTCACTCCTTCATGCTGATAGTGAAGCATCCCTACCCCTAGAGGTCTGTGTGTATGGACAACACCAAGTCACAGGATCTCAGAACCTTGGCATAGAGGAGGACCTTTGAGGTCTGCCTTTCAATGAATATTTGTTGAACAGATACTATCTGACCAGGACTATCATCCATGATGTGACCAGGACAGACTGAGATGTAGACTTGGACAGAGCTGCACCAGACAGTTTCATAGATAGACATGGTCAAGGCCACATAGTGCTGACCCCCAGTCAGTGTACTCCTGAGGATGCAGATAATAGGCATCCCTTCCTTCCTCCAGCTGTCAGGCTTTCCCACCCGCACCTGATTGGAAGAACGGGCAACTCCCAGTCCAGCAGCCCTACCCAGAAAGAGGAAGGGTTGGGAAACTCACTGGAATGGCTGTGATGGGCCTGGAGGGATAGAAGGAATTTCACTGGGCAGCATGGAGGGAAACCCAGAGGAAGAGAGAGAAGAGACTTGGAGATGAGGCATGTATGTTATAGTGGGTGGGTCTGTGAGGGCGCAACAGTGTGGGGCGGCTGATGACATGGAAAGATCACTTTTTCAGGAGTTTTTGAGTCAGAGAGTGAATTCTCAGGAGTGGATGTTAGAAAGATCGGGCATTTCTGGGCAATGTCAAAGGAAAGAAACTGAGGCAGAAAGGCACACTACTGCAATGGTCCAGGTAAATGTCATGGAAGACCCCACCAGAGCAGGACAGAAAAGAAAGGAACTTGGGCTGGAGAGATGGCTCAGCAGTTAAGAGCACTGGCTGCTCTTGCAGAAGACATGAGTTCAAATCCCAGCACCCACATGGCAGCTAACAGCTATCTGAAACTGCAGTTCTAGGAGATCTGACACCCTCTTCTGCCCTCTGCGGGCATTGCATGACACAGGTGCACCTACATACATGCCCACACATATAAAATAAAAATAATTAATTTTTTTTTAATTAAAAAAAAGAAAGGAGCTGTAGGAGAGGAAGTGAGAGACAGAAGAGGCCACGGAGTCGCTCTGATGGAGCGTGGGGAGACAGGAAGGGCAAAGACAGAGCTTTCAGAAGATGGGAGATTTAACATCCTTTATTGATTCCAAGAACATTTCCTGAGCACCTGCAGAGGGTCAGACCTGTGCCATTCAGGCAGGAAATTGAGCAAAATTGTGCAAAACTCCGATTTGTCCTTAGTTGGGTTGGGGGATGGGGAAGCAGAAACAAGGAGCCATTGAGCAGCCAGTACCCATCTCAAAGCCTCAACTTTGCTTTCTGTAAAATGGCGGCATCTCAACAAGCAATCATCTTTTCCCAGCTGGCTTCTAGGGCCAGGGAGACACACAGGAGTGTGGCTGGCAAAGTCAGCCGCCCCAGTAGCATCAGCTAATGCTCTCAATTGTCCTTCCCTGCCTTAAGGCAGCCAGTCCTTCAGATGCTCTGTGAACAGAGATGGTGGTGAATGCGATCCAGATGAAAAAACCATTCTCAGAGCCAGAAATAGAGCCCAGGCAACTAATTCCCACCTCCTCTTACATCCTCTTTCCTATAGGCCACCTGGGACTTGGAGCCCATTTGCCCTGCTGTCCAGGCTCCTAATGGCAGCCCCCTTGTAACTGCAGCAAGGGTGGAAAAACTCAGGGTGCCTTTCCAGAAAGGGTGGGAACAAATGAAAACAATGATGGAGAGGCAAAGATGAGGAGGTAGAATATTCCAAGAGCATCTTTGCCACACTAGAGCAAAAGTGAGGTGGTCCCGCCTGTGTGCACTGGGGCTGGGGACCCAGCCTAGGACCCTCTCCATACCCTGTCATCGGTTTTCCAGGAAGTTTGGAGGCTCCCCCTGCTCTCCCCTATCCACCAGGGTGAAGGTTTGTGGGCAATGTTCTCCCGCAGAACTCGGCATGAAATAAATTCCATTCTTACTCTGCAAATGACACTGCACATAAATATTCAGTAAATTAGCAGCACGCTTTTATAGATTTATCAGTCATTGCAGGCACAAAATGACAGGCAATGTTGTAGCTGAAATATTAATGCTGACAAATTAATGATTTCTGAGTAAATGATGTCATTTTTGCACCGTTTCATTAAAATTTACTCACTTCTGCTTCATTTCTGGACCTAAAAAAATTTAAAATCATTTCTTTTTCTCTTTCTTCTTTCTTTTTAGTGTGGGATCAGTTCCCAAACCTGAGAGAGACATAAAATTTCCCCCAGCAGCACCCCGGAAATAGAGGTGGGGAGTGGGACAGGTTAGTGTTCCCCACTCCAGGCTCTGGGAAGAGGCAACCCCCACCTCCACCCCTATCCCAAACCAGGGTCCAGGGCCTCTGCCGTCGGTCCAGCTGGTCTAGAAGGTGCAGTTAAAGGTGGTTTCTTCGGGTCAAACCTGGAACGAGGATGGGGATACAAGAAGTCAGAAGGGGTTGGGAGTGGGGGGCACATGGGTGAAAGGGAGGGGGAGGACATGATCCCCCCTCTCGAGGCTCCAGGGCCTCCACTGACCTCACCATACATGCCTTCACAGTTGCAGTAAATTTAAGGAATAATCAATTGCTCAACTTCTACATCAGGAAGAGAGTAACATACCGATTATGTGAACACACCCAGCCACCCTCTTCACCAAGGTTCTGGGGAGTGAATAGATAGATAGATTCGAGTTCGGATGCGGATTGATCTAGCCTCGTCCCTAGTGTGACCCTGGGAAGCTATATTGGTTTCTCGGACCATCCACCTTCCCCTTCTCTAACTATCTCATTTCTCACGGCTGGCTCCCCAGTTGCACCTCTCTGGGGTCTGCTGTAGCCCAAGCACTATGGGGAAGGGACAGCGAGACACCCCCCCACACACACACACAGTGCCAAGTGACCTGGCCCGGCCCTGCTGGGGCGAGGGCACCCAGAGCGCGCCGTGCCACCGCTTGTCTCGGTTTGGTGAAGAAGGCCAAGTGCAAACAATCTCGCCTGCCGGGTCCGGCGCTGCGGGAACCGAGGGCGGCCAGGCGGTGAGACTCCGCAGCCGACACAAAGGAGATACGGGCGGGGAGCGAGCTCCGAGCCTGGCCGAGCTGTATCGGGCAATCTCCGGGCTAATTCGTGTCAGGGCCGGTCTCTGGTCTCCCATCTTCTGCCCAGCTCCCCAGCCGCTGATAAAATTGAAGTGGAAATGAAGTTGGATGCTCCAGAGCACCGGTGCACGGTGATGGGGTGGGGGGTGGCGCTCCGCCCGCCCCAGGCAGCTGCGCCCTCCGCGATCGCCCTTGGCGCTGCCCTTGGCCAAGCCGGAGGGAAAGAGCACTCGCAAGGCAGGGAGGGCAGATGGGCCCACACAGGCCCTTAACCAGCGGCGACCTCCTATGCTGTGCAGGTACTGGTTTACCTTTACCCAGCAACGGTAGTGGGATGGAGACAGCGTGAGGGAGGCTGGCTGAATCGGGTACTGCATAAAGCCTTTATTGAGAGCTTATGTGCCAGGCTTAGTGCCAGGTACTTAAAGTGAGTTATCATCTCATTTAACCCTTCCTCTAACAGGTGATGGGTTGAGTTATTGTCCCCATTTTCACAGGTGCAGAAACGGAGATGTCCAAAGTCTCAGCTGACTCAGGATAGCTAACCGATGGAGGGACCCAGGTGGAGCGTTTCACCTCCACACCTCCTGCACCCTAGGGGCACCCAAGTCCACTGAAAAAGGATAGGCTGGCAATTCTCTGTGCCTGTGCTGTCTGTCCGCTGAGCTCAGCATCTCTGTGAGAGGTTGATATACCCCGAGGTGAGGAGCCTGGTCTGAGATGAAGTGGAAGGCTCCAAAGCTGGGAATCAGGCATGCAGGATGAGCTGGCCCAAGGAACTGTCTTTCTGAGCCCCCAAATCTAACCCCTACCTCACCCATCACTGCCTGCCTGCTCTCCAGCAACCACCTTGCTGCCTGCCATGGGCTCTCAACACTTCCCAACCCTCTCTTTCTGCTCAAAGTCTTCAGACATTGTTTTTTACCAGCTTCCAATATTCTTCTGGGCAACTCTTCCATCTCCAAGTTTCATGCTCTTTTCCATAGTCCCTTTAATGGTTTTGGTACACCAAAATATATAGAATGTTTTCTTTCAACTAGACAGGAAGAGCAGCCCAGTAAGAGCGCTTATTAGGTCACAAGAGAAGCCTTAAACATTCTGGGGACTTTACCACTCTACAGAACATGTGTTCTGATCACAAAGCAATACAGTTAGAAATCAGCCACAGGAAGAGAGCTGACAAAAGTGTTAGCTGTTTTGTTAGAGAACTAACAAAAGCTCTACATGTTCTGAACCGAAGAAAACTTCCAAACTATATGTGGGGTAAAAGAAAAAACAGAAATTATTGAACGTTTAGAGCTGAATTATAATGAACGTGCTTAATATTGAAATTGGTGGGATGTAGTTAAAGCGGTGCTTAAAGGAAAATTTATGGATTGGAGTCAGTAACATCATCCTTAAAACCAAATGTTTCTATCTCTCTGGCTTCTGTGCTAGAGTTGACGTCTCCTTTTATTTTTCTTTTCTTTCAAATCACTTATATATACATATATTCACAAACATATATATTTCTGAGTATGCTTTTTAAAAAATTTTAAATTTATTATTTTTTTATGTGTATGAGTATATTGCCTGCACGTAGGTAAGTGCACCTGTGTCGTGCAATGCCCAAGGAAGACAGAAGAGGCCATCAAATCCCCTGGAACTGGAGTCACTGACAGTTGTTAGCTGCCATGTGAGTGCTGGGATTCGAACCCAGGTCTTCTGCAAGAACAACCAGTGTTCTTAACCGCTGAGCCATCTCTCCAGCCCCCTGGGTATGTATTTTTATGGTGCTGGGAATAGAACCCAGGTCCTTAAGCATGCTAGACAAGTGCTCTGCTACTGAGTCTTAGCCCCTGAGTATACTTCTTAGTGTACAGATGTTTGGCTTATCTTTGTATTTCCAGCTTCTAACCAGGGCTTGGCACACAATAGGTCTCAATAGCTAGCCATAGAGGCAATGCATTATTAGTGAATTCATGTCCATTCTTCTTTCAAAATGGATTTGAGAGGGTCTTTGATACATATAGCGCACGAGATAAAAGTACAGCTAGGGAGGCTGGAGAGATTGGTCAGTGGTAAGAGTGCAAACTACTCGTGCAGAGGACTTGAGTTTGATTCCTAACACTTACAACCACCTGTAACTCCAGCTCCAGGGGGATCACAGTCCTCTGGCCTCCAAAGGCACCAGCACTCACATGCACATGCACATACATACACACACACACACACACACACACACACACACACACACACTTTTTTTTTTGAGTACAAGTTGGCAGAGAAATAAGACACTTGGAGAAGATTCCTTCACATCTTCCACTCATGATTCAAGGACTTTCTTCTCCCCTTAGAGACAAAAGTTATGCAATTTGGGAGTCTTTTAGATAGACCCACTGTAGGGGCACTCCAATTGCCTCACCCTGCATCCCTGTTCAGCATGGAAGAAGCCAGAGTGGTCGGCGTCCCTATTCCCCATTGGCAATTTAGGTAACCCTCTCAGAGGATGGTGTGATAAGAATAGGAGGTAGGAATTGTTAGGGTAAAAAGACCCCAAAGAAATGTAGCCAGTTGCTTGGCTAAAAGTCAAAATGTCCTTGGGCCTGTTAGCAACATACTCTGTTCCAAGGCCAAAAATGTCAAAAGTATTTGGGAACTTGTATCTAATCCTTAAAAAGATTTTAGGGTTACCTCTTCAGAGGGGGGAATGTTGGAGGGGAGGGAGTGGGCATGGATTTGATCAAAACACCTTATATGCATGTATGAAATTCTCAATAAAGTTTTTGTAAAAATTTTAAAAAAAGAAACTTGGAGATGTAGAGTCAGTCTTGAGTGGCAGTGGGGGATGGGGTAGCAGCACAGTGGGTTTGGGGCTCAGATAACCTCTATTCTTCTCAGGGCCAGGCGAAGGGACAGGAGACAGGAGGAAGGGATGAGGGCCTGGGTAAGGAGTCAGACTGAAGAGGCAGAGTGGATACCCTGCAGATCCTGGAGGGGCGATGTCTGAGGCTGGACCTTGGAAGAGGAGATTAGGGCTTTTATGACAACTAGGTGAAGGCAGGAGGCAGAGCATTTGTTCATTCATTCATTCATTCACTCACTCACTTCACAAGTCTGATAAACTATAGATTTAAAATATGCAGAGTTGGAGCCAGCATGGGCCCATGGCTATGGTGGCACTGAGCCCCCAGTGCTGCCTTGGATAGCTGAATGGGCTTCCTCTGAGGGCAGCAAAAGGCTAGAGTCTAGGTGCGTGGAACTCTCAGCCAGGTTTTACAGCCTTCGCTTATCCATGTGCTTAACTTTCTACTTCTCAATTTGTCCACAATCACTGTTTTCCATTCTCTCCCTCCCTCCTGTACTGGAATGGAACACACTGAGTCATACCCTTAGCGCCTCACTCCTTTCTGAAAGGACATTTGATATTATTCTTCTCACTAAATGATTTATTTATTATTATTATTTTATGTGTATGCATGTATTGCCTGCATGTATGTAAATGCACCCGGGCCATGCAATGCCCATGGAAGGTCAGAAGAGGGTGTCTGATCCCCTTGGAACTGGCATTACAGACGGTTGTTAGCTGCTCTGTGGGTGCTGGGAATCGAACCCGGGTCCTCTGGAAGAGAGGCCAGTGTGCCTAACTTCTGAGCTAACTCTCTAGCCCTCTGTTCTTGCCAAATGAAGCAGCTTGGCTGAACCACTTTGTGACTTTTCTAAGTAAAATTTTAAACTTTTTATTATTTTTGTTTTATGTGTATTAGTGTATTGCCTGCATGTATTTTAAGTGCACCCATGTCATGCAATACCCAAGAGGTCAGGCATTAGATCCCCTGGAACTGGAGTTATGGATGGTTGTTAGCCACCATGTGGGTGCTAGGAAACAAACCCAGGTCCTCTGCAAGAGCAGCCAGTGTTCTTAACCACTGAGCCATCTCTCCAGCCCCTCTAAGTATATTTTTAAAGAATTATTTTCTGAAAAAATTAAACAAAAAACAGAAACTCCCAATCAACACATGGGCCAATGAAATGAGCAGATAGTTCTCAAAAGGAGAACTACAAATGGCCAATAAGTACATATATTTTAAAAAATATTCAACATCCTTATCTATCAGGGAAAGGCAAATTAAAATTATTCTGAGATTCCTTCTCACTCCAGTCAGAACGGCAATCACCAAGAGAACAAAAGACAAGAAACATTGGTGAGGAGGTAAGGAAAGAGGAGCGCCTATCCACTCTGGTGCAGTGGAAACTACTACAGACACTGGCAATCAGTATGACAATTTCTCAAAAGACTAAAAATAGAACTACCGTGTGATCCAGTCATGCTGCTCTTGGCCATACACCCCAAGGACTCCATATCCTGTCCAGATACTGGCACATCCATGTTTACTACTGCCCTATTCACAATAGTAAGGAAGTGTAATCAGTCTACATGTCAATCAACAGATGCAGGAATAAGGAAAATACGCGTATACACAATGGAATTTTATTCTGCCATAAAGAAAAATGAAAGTAAGAAATTTGCAGGAAATTGATAGATCTGGGAGTTATAGTAAATGAGGTATCCCAGGCTGAGAAAGACAAATACCGCATGCTCTCTCTTATGTGGATCTAATTTTTATAGGTGTGCCAATATGTGGAACAAGTTAGGTACAGGTCATGAAACTAGAAAAGAGACAATGAGAGAGGAGAAAAGAGGTTTTAAGGAAGGGGTGGGGAGGGTAATAGCATACATGTGACAACTAGGGGCGAAGGGTTCAAATGGGGGAGAGGGAAAAAGAGGGGAGGGATCAACCAAAACAGAGCATGCATGGAAATGCCTTGATGAAAGCTGTTGCTTCATATGCTAATCTTAAAAACTAAAAATTATAAATTTTTAAAAATTTAATTTTTACATGCATGAGTGTTTTGCCTGCATGCATGTAAGTGCACCCATGCAGGCAATGCCTGAAGAGGCCAGAAGAGGGCATTGGATCCCCTAGAACTGGAGTTATGGACAGTTGTTAGCTGCCAGTGGGAAGCAAACTCTTGTCCTGTGGAAAAGCAGTGTTCTTAACTGCTGAGCCATTTCTCCAGCCCTCTAAAAATTAGTTTTAAGAGGAATTTACATGAAGAAACTTCTACCTGGAATTAGAAAACTGGTATGAGTCCTGCCTCTAACACTAGAAGTTGTGCAACCTTGGACAATTGCTTCTCCTCTCTGAATACTTCTGTTTTAAGACAGGGTCTCACTATGTAGACCAGGCTGGCCTCAAACTCACAGAGATCTGCCTGCCTCTGCCTTCAGAGTGCTGGGATTAAAGGTGTGTGCCACCATGCCTGGCCTTTTTAAATTTTACTCTGTAGGCCAGGTTGAATTTAAACTCTTAATCCTTCTGCCTTGGCTCCTGAG